GGAGAAGAAAAAATATACTTTTATGTAAAATTTATATATATATAAAAAAAACTTAATAAAAACATATAGTAATATCGTTATTATAAATAAATTTATTTTTAATGATTTTTTATTTTAAAACAAAAAATTCATAATGAATCACATCATTATGTATAAAAATTTTATATAAATTTTTTGTTTATTTTAAATTATTATAGTAATTATTATATTATTAGTTTAAAAATACAAATCTTATATTCAAAAATTATATTGGGCCATTCAAACTTTATGGATTTCAAGTCAAGGTGTATACGTGAACAACACAATCAAACAAGACCCTGCAACCATCAGGGGTGGTGGCCTAGTGGAGAAGGCATTCCTCTCCACATGCGTTATCCAGATTCAAATATTTGAGGGGAGGGGGGCAAATTTGCTACTTTGTAGTTGGCTCTTTAAGGAGATCTCGCCTTGTACTTCAATCGAAACTTAGACTCGTTTGTGGCATGTGGTTGAGCTTCATTGGTGTCTCGATGGTGGATCTCTTTCTATGAGTTAGGTCAAATCAAATTGGCAACCGGTAATTCCAGGACTTGTGTCCACAGATGTAGTGATGACACTTCAGAATATTTTTTTTTTCTAGTTAAAAGAAAAACATGACCTTGCGGTTTATGTATATAATAATAATTTATACTATGTTTTTATTATTATTTTATTTATTTATTTTAATAATTTAATAACTTATACTATGCTTCGTTGGATTTTTTCCGTTTTCTTTTTTAATTGGTTGTCTATGCTATTCTTTGGTAGCTGCAAAAGACAAAGCACTCCGATGTGCTATTTGGCAGGTGGTTTTATTTATTTTTTTTATTAGCAAAAGATAAATTTTATTGATGAAACAAAAGAGTATTACATCAATAAAGAAAGCGATGAGTGCAAAGAGCATCAAAACGAAACAAATCAATCCTAACTAGGTTGGCACTGGTAAGTCCGCCCTATCATCTGCTATCACACCATCAGAAGTTGGTGTGAAACCAACCGCAAAAAAGATAACCACACCCAACAGACCAGAGCAACAGTAGCACGCCCCCCTATGCCATACAAACTTTCACCAGAGCGAACCACTGAGCTTCTAACAACTGCAAAAGCAATTTTAGCAATGACAACCACTGACTACTAGTAGCAAGCAGCAACATACCTATTTGCAACCTCCCTATTTGCAACCTCCAATCATCTTCATACGCCAACAGACCTCCTATGCCATGCAACAGATCAACAGCCAACCAGCAGCATACACCAGCAGGCTCCTAAACAGCAGCATACAGAAGGCCAAAATAGCATCAAACATCAGTAGCATAAAGCCTCAAACCTGCACTCTTAATCAGCAAACATCAAATTAGCATATAGTAGCAGGCACACCAAATTAGCATACAGCAGCAGGCACACCAAATTAGCATAACACTGCATCTGAAGATAGCCCCAAGTCAGCATACAGCAACAGGCACACCAAATTAGCATACAACAGTAGCCGTAATGATACACCTCTACAGCAGCCACAAATCATCTTTTTCTTTTCTTTTTTAAATTTATAAAGGTACTTTGAGAAGGGAAAAAAAAATAGACAAACACTTTCCGTATTTTATAATGATTTAGACTTAGATTTAAATTTAGATAATTTCTAGTTTATTTTAAAATTTCATAAAAGAAATTTTGTAACTATACTAAGGCCAAGTTTGGCATCTCCCCAAAAAGTCAAAAAATTACTTAAAAAGTTAAAAAGTTATCACTATTCACCAAAAAAAAAATATTAAAAATTTAATTTTTCACACATTAATTCACACAGCCATACAACTCATCAATTGACCTGTGAAGCTCTGTGCTGCGTTTGAAAGGAAAAATTGCACAGTTTGGTGTAATTTTACACACTGTTGTTCGGCTTATGGGGGCCCATCACAGGTCCTGTTTTGATATCTGAACTGTTTAATGTGTAGAACTCGTCGAGTCCTATATGTCTGTAAAAAATCACATTGATTGGATATCGATAACTATATGATCAAATCAGTTTTGTATAAAAAAATGGATGGTGTTATAATTAACAATTGAAAAAAAACACATCTGATCAGATAGTTATCGATATCCGATCAACGTGATTTTTTATAGGCATATAGTACTTGACGACTTCTAGGCATTAAACGGTTCAGATTATCAAAATGGGACCCGTGATGACCCCCATGGGCCGAACAAAACCGTTCAGTGCAATGCCGAAATTAGCCAGTAATTTCTTACCATCAATTCAGCCCTCAGATTGTACGACTGTTGACTTTTCATTTCTAATATTCTCCTACACATTTTTTTATACAATTTTTTAATACACATTTTTCTATAAAAAGTCAAAAAGTTAACCCAAATATTCATATTTTTTTTCTCAATTTTTTAGTCTAAAAAAATAAAAAATACACTTATTTAAAACACCCAAAAAAACTGCTAAACATAACTTATTTTATTTTTTGATTTTTGATATTTTTAATAAATGAAACTAAAACGACAATTATATCAACCACCATCAAGGCCTAAATGAGCAATGCTAGGTATCATGAAAAAAATTTCATGAAAATGATCATGAAAGATTTATGACCCTTGGATTACACTTAAAATAAAGTACCACAAGGTAATCCAAGAGTCATAAATCTTTTATGATTATTTTCATGAAATTTTTTTCATGATCCCTAACTTTTCTCGGCCTAAATTGATTTTGAATAATGTTTGAGGGTCACAATTTTTGTGGCTCAAATGGCTTAAAACTGTCAAAACGACGTCGTTTTGACATGTTTTGTGCTCAAAACAACGTCGTTTTAACAGTTTTGAGCCATTTAAACTACAAAAATTGTAACCCTCTACCATTGCCCATTGATTTTACATTATTTCATCTGGCCATTTATTTGCCGCCTTTTCAGAAGTCAATAGTGAATTGACCCCTCTGTATCAATCATTAAATAAAGTGGTACAAGAATCAGTCCGACTCCTTCGCAATCTCAAAAAGGATTATATAGGCGGTGTTTGGGGGAAAAAAAAAATTGGATTTTTTTTGATTTTTTTCACTAAAAAAACAAAGTGTTTGCAAAATCAAAAAAAAAAAAATAAAAACAAAATATCACATCCAACTCTATAATCATTTCACTTTTTCTCTCACAAATATCACATCCAATCACAAAAAAATCCAACTATCTTCTCAAACACACAATTTTTTTTTCTTCAATAATATCTTACAACTAAAAAAATCTACATAAAAACTCACTTCCCAAACACCCACATAGGCCTATTTTGGGAAGTGAGTTATAATCTACTTCTCAGATTAAAACACACTTCCTCTCTCACAAAAAAAACTGCTTATAAGTTGCTTATAAGCAGTTTTTCACCAAAAAACTGATTATAACCATCTTCCCAAAATAGCCCATAATATCATCGAGCTAATGCGGGCTTGACTTTAGGTCAATTTTAATAATTTAAATAGTTTAATTTGTAAAATTTATTAAGTATATTGTATTTGTAAAAAATTATGTTAATTAAATATTGATAATCACTTAATCAATTTATATTTGTATCTGTAACTTACTTTTAAAATTATAATTAACATTGAAACAAATGCAAATTGATCAAATAGCTATTAATATCGGGTCAACATGATTTTTTAAGAAATGATATATTTTATGAGTTCTACATGTTGAACGATTTAGATCAACAAGAGGTGCCCAAAATCGAGCCCACCACAACCTAACAACACCGTCTAATTTGATTTTGGATTAGAAAGAAACTGTGACCCAATAATAATACGTGTAGCATTAGTTAGCCATTAGATTTCAGGATACTTATTTAAGGTTAATTTTGCTATTGATTTTAGTCATACAAATTGCTTTTTAAGATTTGTTGCGTAGAAAATAAAAAATGATATACAAGTTCACTTTATAAACTTTTTTTTTAATATTTATTTATAGATTTAATGATATATAAGTAATATAATTAATTGATAATTACAGAAAATATAAGAGAGATTGTTGCCTTTAATATTCTAATTGATTGTCATATTATTAGGTTTGAAAAATAGGTATAATTTTTGGACTTGACTAGCAATGCTCATAGAAAATTTATGTAAAAAATTGATGGAACATTGATGGTTATTTGTTTAAAATCATATTTATTTTTAAAAAATGTATGACAATTATAATTTCAATAATAACTATTCATTTTTTGTAATACAAATATAATTCAAACATACACCAATTAATATTCGATTATTTTAATTTTTTTATGAATATTCTATTTAATTAATATTAAAAGATGAATAATTTGAATCACAGGGGTCAACCCTAAAATTAGCTCACCAATTCCAAATTCCTATAAAAAAAAAAAATGTTAGAGATCTAAAATAAATTACTCAATTTGTTCTAAAATATTAGTTCCTTTAACATGAATTTCTTATTTTTTCTTTCTTTTAAATTTATTAATTATGACAATTGATATTCTAAAAAAAAGAAAGTTAATTTTGCAAAATTAATATTTTTAAAGTGTAACTAAAAAAATTAATATTTTAGAATGAAGAAAATATCAAATTTTCAACATAATACTCACATAAGTGTAGATGTACGTACCTAAAAGTATTATATAAAATATTTGATAATTCAACATAATTTTATAATAAAGGAAAATGTTTGAGGGCCCGAAATGCCTGGCTCGAATGCCCCGAATGCCCAAAACGACGTCGTTTTGGGCATTCTATTTTTTTTTTTTTTTTTTTTTTTTTTTTCGGCCATTTTCGACCTCTGCAATGCAGAGGAAGAGGGAGAGAAAGAGAGGGAGAGGGAGAGGGAGAGAAAGAGAGAGAGAGGTCGCGTCGTCTACGCCTCCCGCCGCCGATCGCGTCGCCTCCGCCGATCGCGTCTGCCTCGCCTCAGCCCCTCCTTCTCCATTTTTTAGGCCCCCTCCCCTCCCCCTCCTTCCCTTCTTCTTCTTCCTCCTTCTTTTCAAATTCGAGCTAGATTTGGCTCGAAACCCTTTCGGGCTCTGTAGCAGAGCTCTATAATAAATGGTTGTTTGAAATGTTCTAAATAAGTGTACTATTTAAATTTTTATAAAATATAGGTTGAGTTTAAAGTAATGTGGTAGAGAGGTAATATGACTTAAATAAGATAATATAACTTAAATAGAATAGTAAATTTTTAACTTTTTTTAATTTTTTTAGCACACTCCAAAGCCAAAGCATTACTTGACTTGGGTTCCGAACTCATTCCATAACCCATTGAACTGTTGAAGCAACTATAGTAGATTTGGAGTTTTTCTCTCTCTCCCTCCTCTGCCTCTTTCTTCTCTTTCTCTTACTCTCACTGAAATTGCACTCCCTCTTCTACAAGCCCAACTCCAAAAACCTCACTCTCCCGCCGGGCTCCACCGGGTGGCCATTGATCGGCAAGACCCTCGAGTTCCTGGCCACCGGCTGGAGAGGTCACCCGGAAAAATTCGTATTCGACCGCATATCCAACTACTCATCCTACGTCTTCAAGACAAATCTTCTAGGCCCCCAAACAGTCGTGTTCGCCGGTGCAGCCGGTAACAAGTTCTTATTCTCCAACGAGAACAGGCTCGTCCAAGCATGGTGGCCAAGCTCCGTCTACAAAGTCTTCCCATCCTCAACCCAAACCTCTTCCAAACAAGAAGCTGATATTGCTGATAAAATCTTGGGTTTGTTGATTGGTGGCCACGGCACTGCTAGCTCCACGTGCGATTCCGTTGTCATGTTTCTTGCGGAGCTTCCTCATGTTTATCAACGAGTGTACGAGGGTACGTATCTCTGCATGCATATTTATTCTATTCTATAAACACGCACAGTTCTGTATTCTCTCTGCCACTTTTTTTTTATCAAGTTATTATTTAAAGACCACAATTCAATATTGGTTTATTATCAGTTAGGTCTCATTTGAAACATGTTATTTTAATAATTTTTTAATTTTTATAAAAAATATATATAGAAAAATAGAGATAGTGATATAACAATTTATAATAATTTTTTAATTAAAACTGAAACTGAAAGTTGTCAAACGGACTTTAGTTGTGGCCTTTGAATTAGTTGCTAGATGCTATTACGAAGAGAGTGTTAATTATGTTCTAAATATTGGGCAATACTTATTAATATTAAAGATCTCTAATACTCGTTATATATTTATTTGTAAACTGGTTGATGCAGATCGATATTTGGTCGTATCACTGATAGCCATACGTTATCTGATACTGTTATTTAAAAAAAATAGATAGAAAATTCTTGAAATCATACTCTTTTTTTTTTTTGATCGGCAAATAAATCTTCAATAATACTAATTTTAAAATATATAATTTTTAATCTAGATGTCAATTTTTAATAATAATATGTTGATCAAGATATGTTAAGATACATCAATAAAGAGGAGCATGGAGCTAATTTAAAAATATTAATCGATCTTTAAAAATGCGAATTTTAAAATATATAATTTTTGATCTAGATGTCGATTTTTAATAATAATATGTTGATCGAATAATAATATGTTAAGATACATCAATAAAGATGAGCCAACATCAATTGATCAGAGGAGCCAACATCAATAATATGTTGTGAAAGATACATTAAGATATGTTGATCTAGACATAATAACAAGATATGTTAAGATACATCAATAATATGTGGAGCCAACATTAATATTTTTGAAATCATACTTTCTTTCTTTTTTTATCGGCAAATAAATCTTTAATAATACTAATTTTAAAATATATAATTTTTGATCTAGATGTCGATTTTTAATAATAATATGTTGATCAAGATATGTTAAGATATGTTAAAATATATCAATAAAGAGGAGCATCGAGCTAATTTAAAAATACTAATCGATCTTTAAAAATACTAATTTTAAAATATATAATTTTTGATCTATATGCCGATTTTTAATAATAATATGTTGATCAAATAATAATATGTTAAGATACATCAATAAAGAGGAGCCAACATCAATCGATTAGAGGAGCCAACATCAATAATATGTTGTGAAAGATATGTTAAGATATGTTGATCTGGACATAATTACAAAATATGTTAAGATACATCAATAATATGTGGAGCCAACAAGATACATCAATAATATGTGGAGCCAACAAGATATGTTAAGATACATCAATAATATGTGGAGCCAACATCAATAATATTTTTGAAATCATACTTTCTTTTTTTTTAATTGGCAAATAAATCTTTAATAATACTAATTTTAAAATATATAATTTTTCATCTAGATGTCGATTTTTAATAATAATATGTTGATCAAGATATGTTAAGATATGTTAAGATACATCAATAAAGAGGAGTTTGGAGCTAATTTAAAAATACTAATCGATCTCTAAAAATACTAATTTTAAAATATATACTTTTTGATCTAGATGTCGATTTTTAATAATAATATGCTGATCAAATAATAATATGTTAAGATACATCAATAAAGATGAGCCAACATCAATAATATGTTGTGAAAGATATGTTAAGATATGTTGTGAAAGATATGTTAAGATATGCAACAATGATTCATCCCACTAAAAACACTACCACTAATAGCACTAATGCATTAAAAAAGTAAAAAAAAAAAAAAAAAACACAACTCCAAGACCAAAACATCACATCATTAATGGCGGGACCCACTGCCACCTAATTAGTGGGAGCACTAATTAGTGCTCCCAAGCATTTTTCTAAGATATGTTGATCTAGACATAATAACAAGATGGAAAATGATTTAGAGCCCTAAAATCCCTCCCCCTAATCCCCCTAATTTCCTTTTCTGGAAACTGTTTTCTTTTTCTTTTCTTTTTTTCCTTTTTTTTTTTTTTTTTTTACCTTAAATGGCATTTTCGGGGGATTCGGGGGTCCCCCTTTCGGGGGATGAATCACTTCCCTAACAAGATATGTTAAGATACATCAATAATATGAGGAGCCAACAAGATACATCAATAATATGTGGAGCCAGCAAGATATGTTAAGATACATCAATAATATGTGGAGCCAACATCAATGATATGTGGAGCCAACATCAACAATATTTTTGAAATCATAATTTGTTAGTTGTTTTTGAAATCATAAATTACACCCACCTCCTTTGAAATCATATTTTTGAAATCATAATTTGTTAGTTGTGTACATGAAAAATAGAATATCATCATCATTTTTTTTAATGAAAATATATATTTATCTTTGTTTATTTCACTATCTGCATTAGTTTCAATCAATTTAATTTTATTAAAAGAGAAATTGGTATAATTATGTCAAAAGTGTAGGGGTGACTGTATTTTTTTCAAATCTCAAAGGAGGTGAGTATAATTTACCCAAATAGAAAATAAAATGCTATTAAAAGAAAACTTGTCAAACCAACCCCAAATTATAATAGCCGGAAGAAATGTTACGAATTGAGTAGTATTGCCCAATCGAACCACCTTAGTCGGATTGATGGGATAAAGAAAAAATTATCAATTATTTAATATAATGTTTCTTTTAATGTTTTATTAATTTTCCCTAAGATGCCAAAGATTTGAATGATCCGCAGGAAGATCAAGTAACTAAATTAATTACAAATGATTGTATTTTGCATTGTTGTGAACAGAGCAAATGGAAATTGCGAAATCAGAAGCTCCAGGGGAATTGTTGAACTGGGATGATATTAAGAAGATGAAGTATTCATGGAATGTAGCGTGCGAAGTGATGAGACTCGCACCACCCCTCCAAGGAGCATTTAGAGAAGCAGTGACAGATTTCATGTACAATGATTTCTCAATTCCTAGAGGCTGTAAGGTAATAACCAAAATTTCATATACAACTGTTTTACGGGATTGGAATCTCTCCTATCCTGATCTAGGCTAGAGAGGTGCTGTTTGGGTCAATGGGGCCCACTATGGGTCTCTTTTAGATCTGAACCGTTTATTTTTTAGGATTCTTTGTATATATCATTAAAAAAATCAAGAATTGTAAGCTACTTAATCACTTTACCTTGTTATTTTCATTTTATTTTTCTTCTTTCATTTTGAAATCATCAGTTATATTGGAGTGCGAACTCGACACATAAAAATTCTTCTTCGAGCCACACAAGTTTGACCCATCAAGGTTTGAGGAACTGAACCCGTACCTTACACATATGTGCCTTTTGGATGGGGACCAAGAATGTGCCTAGGAAAAGAGTATGCTAGATTGAAAATACTAGTGTTCATGTACAATCTGGTAAAGAGGTTCAAGTGGGAGAAAGTAATTCCTAACGAGAAGATTGTTTTCGATCCCATGCCTAATCCTGAAAAAGGCCTTTTGATTCGTCTTTTCCCTCACAAAGCTTAAATTGGCTCTAGATTGTTGATTTCTCACTCGCTCAATTATATATTTATTATGTGTTTTATCCTAAAGTATCTGTTTATGTGGGTGTTTGAGAAGTGATTTTTTTTAAGTTTTTTTAATTGTAGGATATTATTGGAGATTTTTTTTTTTTTTGGTGTTTGGAAAGATAATTGAGGTTTTTTTGTAGTTGAATGTGATGTTTGCGAGAGAAAAAGTGAAATAATTATAGGGTTTGATGCGATATTTTGTTTGGATTTATTTTTTTTGGTTTTATAACCAATTTGTCTTTTAATAGAAAAAATCCAAAAAAAAACAAAAAAAAAATTCTTCCCATACAGCGCCATCTATGGTTAGGAGGTATAACGAGTAATAAATTCCTATGTATTGATACAAAAGTTGTGGCTATGAAGAAATTCGATTTGTGTTTTTCATAGAAGATAGAATTCTAGAATGTACACCAGGAATTGTGTATGTACGTGAAGCATTTGCTTGTCAAAAGTAACCTATTATTTATTTGGAATTACATGTTAAAAATATGGATAGTCGGTGTGGAAGCCGTTTTTGGTCTTGAATAATGCTTGGGACCCCCTTTTGGGGGTCACCCCCTCACCCCCTTGTCACGTGGCAGGTGGTGATTGGAGGAGCAGGAAAAAAAAGAAAAAAAAAAAAAAAGGTAATCAATGAGAGAGAGAGGGGGTCAAAGGGGGTGGGGGAAAAGGGGGATGAATCATTACTCTTTTGTCTTAAACAGAGTAATTGAGAGTTTAACGGAGAGATGAGTTGCATCGATCTATATCTAAAATAATAATAATATTAATAAAATAAAATAAATAAATCTCATTAACGGTTGTCAGTTAGAGTATGGACAAATTGACTAGGCTTTAAATTCTAATTAAACTGCTATACGACCCACAATGTCATAAATTTATGATGCCACATGGTGTGGACGACTAGTTCAGTGAGTCGTTAGCATCGTACTCTCATAAATGCATATTTCAATCAATCAAATTTTTGGTGTGCAATAAATCTAATAACAAATAAATTAAATAGAATTTAGATCTCGTTTGAAAATAGATTATTTTAATAATTATTTTAAAAATATATAGAAAAATAAAGAGAGTGATATAAAAATTTATAATAATTTTTTTAAAACTTTTTAGCTATTTTCTAAGATTAAAAAGTCTCATTTGAGTTGGATTTTTTTTTGTCTATTTTAACTTTTATAAAAAAAAAGAAGAAATGATTATAGTTTAGATGTGATATTTTATTTTATTGACTTTTTAGTCTATTTCAAAATTAAGAAAAAAAGAAGGAAGAATACATGAAATGCTTATGATTTGACTTTTTTTTGTTATCATCACATGATCACAGATATATAATCGATGAGTTCTCAAAATTTTGGGGATCATTTCCATCACCCAATAAGACAGATGAGAAACAAGCTTAGAATGTAGCCAATATAATTGATGCATCTGAGGTGATGCAAAGATAATTTAATACATTATGTTTTGGCAGAGCATCAAGATATTACTTAGATATTATTGTGCAAATCATTCGATTGTGTTGGTTGATCTAATTTTGGATTTGTTTCGGACTCTTAAATAGATTTGTTCTCATTTTTTATTGAAATGAAAATGATAGATTCGCTCTGTGATCTGTATATCGTACGTGGTTTGTTAAAATCTAGATCTATCTAATCTATGCTCTCTCTTTTTCTCTTTTTTCTTTCTTTTTTTTTTTAACATTTTTGCTTCAGATCTCAAGCTTCACATATTCACAAATAAAAAAAAGTACTGCTAGTGATTTTGTCTTTTTATTGATTCTTTTAGTTTGTTCTATTATCTTTTGAGAATTACAACATGTATTTCTACTGACTGTCATCACCCACCCGCCATCACCATCCGCTACCCACCACCCACCGTCACCACTTTCCACCACCGTCTTCCGCCGTCACTTGCCACCACTTGCCATTTCTCACTCTTTTTTATATTTTTAAATTTTTTTAAACATTTTGTCAATTAGCAAACGCGTTTGTAGTTTATGTTTTTCTAAAAATAAACAAAAAATAAACAAAAACCTGTTTATAAAATTTTTGTAAATATAAACTAAAAACGTAAACGTTACCAAACACACCCTTATTAACCACAGTTGATCTTTACTTCATGGCCAAGTTCATCTTTCCAAATGTACCAATATCTTCTGTTTCACCAAGCAGCAATGTAGGTATCATGAAAATTTTTTTATGAAAATAATTATAAAAATTTTATAATCCTTAAATTATACTTAGAATAAAATACCATACATTAATTAAGGTAATCCAAAGATCATAACTCTTTCATGATCATTTTCATAAACTTTTTCTCATAATCCCTAACTTTTCTCTTCACCAAGTGGCTATGTGGCTATGCTATATAATAATATCAGCAATGCTAGGTATCATGAAAAATCTTTCATGAAAATAATCATAAAAGTTTTGTAACCCTTAGATTACACTTAGAATAAAACACCACACACTAATCAAGGTAATCTAAGGATCATAACTCTTTCATAATCATTTTCATGAGAAAATTTTCATGATCCCGAACTTTTCTCTAATAATATAAGCATTGGGGGGCCAGTTTTACATGGGTCGATTAATGGAAATTTTTTGTATAAATCTCATATTAAGGAATGATGATATATTTAGTTCTAAATTTTTTATAAGTCAATTAGTTCTAATAATTTTGAAAAGATATATGTAATATACTATTTAAAAATTAGATTTATATTGTTATACCTTTATTTCTATTATGTTTCTTTTTTTCTTTTTCTTTTTTTTTTCTTTTATGTTAAAAAGTTAAGGTAAACAATGTATGTAAATTAAATTTGAAATGAATTTTATATGAGAATATTTTTTATTTGGAAACATTTCAGAAAGAATATAAAAATGACTTGAAATATGAAATTTTTTTAATATTTTAAAAAAATATGACATTTTTTAAATATTTCAAAAGAATTATAAAAATTTCTTAGTAAAATTTTGGACAAATATAAAGTTTGAAACTGTAACACTTGACTTGGTTCCAAACTCATTCCACAACCCATTGAATTGTTGAGGCAACTATAGTAGATATGGAGTTCTTCTTCCTCTCTCTCCTCTGCCTCTTTCTTCTCTTTGTCTTACTCTTCTACAAATCCAACTTCAAAAACCTCACCCTCCCGCCGGGCTCCACTGGGTGGCCGTTGATCGGCGAGACCCTCGAGTTCCTGGCCACCGGCTGGAGAGGTCACCCGGAAAAATTCGTATTCGACCGCATATACAAGTATTCATCCGACGTCTTCAAGACAAATCTTCTAGGCTCCCCAACAGTCGTGTTCGCCGGTGCAGCCGGTAACAAGTTCTTATTCTCGAACGAGAACAGGCTCGTCCAAGCATGTTCGCTTAGCTCCATGGACAAAATCTTCCCATCCTCAACCCAAACCTCTTCCAAACAAGAAGAAATCACTCTCAGAAAAATGCTCCCAAACTTCCTCAAACCCGAAGCTTTACAACAATATATTGGTGTCATGGATACCATTTCACAGCGACACTTCGATTCCGATTGGGTTGGCAGCGAAGTGGTGGTTTTCCCTCTCACAAAGCGATACACATTTTGGTTGGCTTGTCGCTTGTTTATCAACATCGATGATACGAACCACATCGCTAAATTCGCCGATCCTTTTGGGATTTTGGTTGCTGGAATTTTGTCCATCCCTATTGATTTGCCTGGAACACCGTTCCGGAGAGCTATCAAGGCCTCGGAGTTTATTAGGAAGGAGCTTTTGGCGATTATTAAGCAGAGAAAGGTTGATTTGGGAGATGGAAAGGGTTCGCCGACACAAGATATATTGTCACATATGCTTGTGACGAGTGATGAAAATGGAAATTTCATGAAAGAGGCTGATATTGCTGATAAAATCTTGGGTTTGTTGATTGCTGGCCACGCCACTGCTAGCTCCGTCTGCGCTTCCATTGTCATGTTTCTTGCGGAGCTTCCTCATGTTTATCAACGAGTGTACGAGGGTACATATTTTATTCTATTTTACTATCCTATCACTCGTGCTATGCACGGAATAATTATAGTTATTTATAGTTATTTTAATTTTTTTAATATAAAAATTATATTTTTTAAGATTTTTTATAAAAATAATTTAACAATCTTATCACTAACCATAGTGTACAGGAGAAATTAAAAAAGCGACTGCAGTAACTATGTACGGGCTGTATCTATAATTATTTGTATGATAAGATTTTAAATGCTAATAAGGGATTTTGACCAAATCAATAAATGCTGATAAGGGGATTTTAACCAAATCAATAAATACTGAGTTTTTTTTTTAAATCAAAAATTTAGAAAATTAAGATTGAGAGATTGGAGCTCCCACAAGACTTGGGCTTTAGAAACCTCATTTTCCTTAATATATTTACAATTATCAATATATGTGAATTGCGAGTTTTAAATGTCTTTTTTTTTTTAAAAAAAAAAATCTCTTCTTTTTTTTCCTTTTTCATATTATATTAAAATTTAATATTTTGATAATATCATATGTGTTGGACTTTTTAAGAAATTAAATATCTTCTTTTTTTATTATATTATATTAAATTTTAATATTTTGATAATAATCATATGTGTTGGACTTTTTAAGAAATTTTTTTAATGCTTGTTCTTAATGCATTAAAGTGTTATTATGAGGGATAATAATCATATATGTTAGGACTTTTCAAGGAATTCATATGTGTTGGATTTCAAAGAATTTTTTTTTATACTTGTTCTTAATTCATTAAAGTGTTATTATGACGGTAAAACTTAGAAGTTGGGAGAAGTTAATAAATGCTAAGGGTTTTTTTAAAAAAATAAAAAAATCAGAAAATTTAGATTGGGAGATTGAAACTCCCACAAGACTTGGGGTTAAAAACTCTCTTTTACTTAACATATAGTATAGATAAGCACGTACAGTTTTGGATTCGCTCTGCCACTTTTTTAATGCCACAATTCAACGATGGTTTATCA